AAAAAAATCAAAACAGGTGATTTTATGTTAATTTATTTTTTTCTCCTGTGAATGACAGTTGTTGTTCTGTAAGTGACAAATTCAAGGAATAAAAAACAGAAAATCCATCAGCAAACATTCCCCCCTCTTTTTGTTTTTAAATAAACAAAACAACCACATCATTAATTCATCCAATTATCTTTCTATAAAATTCTGAAGTTACAAAAATATCACCTGGGTTAGAAAAATAATCACCTTTAGTAAACTTCTGGTGCAAAACTGTGAAATGCAACAGCAACAAAAAAACAACATTTATTGATCTTCAGCTCATTAAATGCACAGAAAAACTTAATTTATTTGTTGTTCCACTTTTTAAATATATTCTTGAATAGTTCCCTTTGTTTTTTTTTATTACTCTGTAAAATTATAATCAAATGTTCACTTTTTTTTTACATCACTTTAAATAAATTTCATACTAATAAAGCAGCTGAAAAGTGTCCAGTTTAGCTGCAGTGGCTCTAAAACAACAACGACAACAACAACAAACTCTCAAACAGCTCCTGAAGCTCAATGTTCTGCAGAAACYCCAGGGACAATAAAAACTAAACATGAGAAATGTGGAAATGAAATGAAAGCAGTTCTGTCCAGTTCATTTTGAGTYGTTTCCTCTAAGAATTGATTCGAATGTGGTCGATTTAATACGAGTCACGGCTGGTGGGATTTAAGAAACATCACTTTTACATCAGAGCAGATTATCTGACATGACAGGAATCATTTATTCTAAAGATGTTGAGTATTTACTCCAAAAGATTTAATTATAATCTACTCTTTTATAAATAATATAAACACTTCTTTACAAAAGGGGAAAGTGTTGTACTTTAACACAACTTCATATCAACAATAAACAGGAACAAAAGAAACCTCATCTTTTTTTAACTTTCAGAAAACTGAATTTATGAAACGTGTTGGACAAATAAAACTACAAGAGTTACTTCTTAGGTCTTTCTGATTCGTTGTAAAAATATATTATTTATTTGTTAGAAGATGATAAATACATAGTATTGTTTAAGTGTGGCGGTTTTAGCTGGTTAATTTGTAAAAATGTTGAAATCAGGGTAACAGTACATGATACAGCCCAGTACACAAGGCAGTACTGGGTATGTATCCAGCACTGTTACTGCTACTTATTACTGTTACTACAGCTGGTAAGTACAAGGTACATAGAGCAGGAGCTCTGTAGGTAATGATTGTGTTCCAAGTACAGAATACATATATAATGAGTAGTTAGTAAGTAAACGGAACTTACCAAGTACTCACCTGAAATTTAGCCAACACATACAAGTCACTTTTGTAATACAGCCCAATACCAATGAGTACCAGGTACACACCTGGTATGTATCAGCTCCTTACAAGGAAGTACAAAGTCTGTACCCTCCAAAAACCCGGTATGTACTAGTTACGTACCCAAAAAATACCCTGGAAGCATCAGGTACATACCAGGTATGCATCACTTTTGCGCATCCAGGTAAAGACCTGGTAAGTACTCATCAACTAGGAACATGAAGTACAGAAACCATCACTTCATAATACAGCCTGGTCCCCATAGACAGGTACCAGGTATGTACTAAATATGTAGTGAGTACATAAATGTTATTTACAAGGTGCATAGTCAGTAGTTTTATTCTAGAGCTCAGTAGGTACCAGGTATGTACTGGGCAGTATGTACTGCTACCAAGATACTAACTGAAGGATTCCCCTTTCTGGTACCTTAAATGGATTTTAATATTAATAATAATCTTAATTTCTGCAGTTTTTATTAACATTAGTACAGTACTCTGTTTTAACATTATGTTCAGTAACTTAAATCTACAATCTGATGTCAAGAAAATACACAACTATAAAGAAAATACACAACCACATGTCCCTTTGAGGAGAGTTTGGATGTTAGACAATGAATTATACTAGTTTATTAGTGCCTTAATGAGTCATGACTCAGACTTCTTTAGTGATTCAGTGACCTCAAGTGTTTTAAAGAGAAAACTTAAATATTTTTTACATCATCCCAGCAGCTCTTCGATTTATATTCTGACTTTCTCTTACACTACAATAAAAAAAAAAGACTCGTGCATAAAAATATTTTTGATGTAGTCGTTAAGAAATAAGGATTTCTAACCCATCCAGAAGAGGGCGGGGTGTTTCTCTCTGATGAATTCAGTGATGCTGTGATTTKTGTTTAACAAGCGACAGAAGATCCACAAAGAGTCAGACCTCCTGTGCTCCACAGGTGGTTCAGTAACGTCGTTCCTCTGCCGGTCACTTCCTGTTTGATTCTACGTGGTGGATTCAAGTTGGATCTGGATGAAGCAGGCCTGCAGCAGGAACACACGAACATGTTTACACACGTGGGCAGCCAACTGAACGGGCTTCCTGCTACATGCACGACACGTCAGACGAGTCTGCTTGTTGGCGGCRCAGTTTGAGGCACGTGTCTCTCTTTATGAAAGCTTTGTTAATTAGATAACGACCCAAAATCATGATTAGAGCGCACACAACCAATGATGCAGCTGGTTTTGTTTAGATCAGGCATGGGCAGTCCTGGTCCTGGAGGACCACAGCCCTGCATGTTTTACTTGTTTCTCTGCTCCAACACACCTGACA